GGTTCGCGGGCCACGTAGAAAAATCCCCCGGCGCCACAGCGAGACCGCTCCGACACGCGCGAGCCCCGCAGAGGGTTCATCCCCCAGCGATCGCCAGACCCACCCCCGGCTAAGAAAGAAAATGGAACTTAAAGGCTGCGAGCTTCGGCCGGGTCAGTAGCCACGCTGCGCAAGTCAGGCCGCGCAAGCTACGCTGCGTAAGTCAGGCTGCGCAAGCTACGCTGCGTAAGTCAGGCTGCGTTAGTCAGGCTGCGCAGGCTGCGCTGCGTAAGTCAGGCTGCGTCAGTCCGGCTGCGTCAGTCAGGCTGCGTCCGTCAGGCTGCGTCAGTCAGTTTGAGTAAGTCAGCTGTGTAGTTGGCAGCCGTTTTTTTCAATTGACCCTTCGCGATGCTTTTGGGAAAAAACACGGCATGCCCCAGCGGCGTGCCCAGGACTGTGAGGCCCTGCTCGCCGAGCCCCCTGCCCAGGCATCGGCGTGCGGGCCAGGCAGCAGTGCGCTGGGTTCCCCCACCCGCGGCATTCCATGCCCGCGTTTTGCGCAACTGGACGCGGATGTTCGCACGCCCCCACAGCGCTGTACCTCAGCCGGCACGTTCAGGCTGACAAGTGCCGTAAATGTCGTTCAAAGATGCGTACAAGTCCTCCCCCCAGCAGTGCGGGGTGTTGCCCCAACGCGCACAGGGCAGCCATCAGGGGATCCTGTTTGCTTGGTACCCGGGGTGTCGTGGAAGACGTAGGCACTCGGCTTAGCTTAAAACGGGGCCACGAAGGGGAGCAGCGCCGTGGAGGCTGGGCCCTTGCTGCAAGCCGCTCAACATGCTCGCGCACGATATATGGTGGTAAGCCTCGACCCCGTCTATGCTGAGGACCGTTGTGCGAGCGTCAGCCCATACTGGAAGGGCGCGCATGCAGCTTGGAAAGCTCCAGCATACTGGGCGAGCGTGCTCCGGCGGCAGCGGCGCCTGGCGTGTTGGCGGCCGGCGGGCGGCCAAGGTCTCCAGGCGTTGGCTGCCGAGAGCTTCCCCAAGGGGGCGAGCGCCGCCGCTCTGGTGGGGAGAGTGGTCAGGACAGGGCCAGCGAAGGGCCCGTGCTGCGACCCCAACAGCGCCAGCGCAGAGGTGTCAAGGTGGAGGGACATGTTCCAGACGGTCTTCCAGGGCTGCAGTGGCAGGCCGCTGCCACCCACGGGCTGCGCCACCGCTGAGCAACAAGCTGCCAGCATCATCGGAGCGCGTGGCCGGCAAAGCGCCAGCCAACACATCCTGCCAAGTAGGGGGCTCCCAGCTATGGTCCGCCAGCACGAGGGCCGCCGCGGCTGCAGCTCGCAGGGAAGGGGCATTGGCCTCAGGCAGGCCCAAGGGGGGCAGGACTGCACGAAGAAGCGAAGGCGTGTGCCTTTCCAGAAGAGGCAAGCCATCGGCCCAAGATGCCCAATACGCAGCAGGGGCGACGGCGGCCGCAGAACGTAAATCGAGACCGCCAAGCCGAAAAGGCAACCTTGCAACGCCCAATGCCTGCGGGGGCAACGGGCCTGCCTGAAGCAGGGTGGACAAGCAGTCCGCAACAGCGAGGTCATGAGCAGCCGCGAACTCTGCCGTGGTTGCGAATTTTCCATGAATCCCATGACATGTAAAGTAAAGATGTAAAGATCGTCGTGTGAGATGTCAACTGGCAGAGGCTTGTGTATGTTCTTGTACATGGCGGATCTGCGAGGAAGTGCATATCTGCGAGGTACAGGAGACACATTTTTCCACATTTTTGCAAAGAATGCATTTCTCTCAGGACCAGTGAGGACAGCCGAAATGCTGGAAGAACTTGGCGATACAAACTGGGACGTCGTGATGTTCAGCGAGACACGTTGCGCAAATATCAACGCAACTTTGGATGGTGGACACCGTTTCGTGACATCTACACAGCCAACACATGCGGCAGGTGTGGCCCTCCTTTTGCACCAGCGGCATTCTGCAAATATCAAAGCAACACATTCGGCTTCAGATAGATTGCTTTTTGCGGATGTCAGCACTGACAGAGGCATGGCCCGTTTTATTGCAGCCTACGTGCCACATGGTGGCTACTCACAAGAAGATTTGGATGATTTCTATGGACTATTCCACTTTACATTGGATGATGCAAACAAAAAAGGCTATTTGATAATTGTCGGTGGCGATTTCAACACACAATTAGGAATCGGTGTGCGAAGTGACATGCTGACAGAAATGGCAACTTCATTTGGATATGACAAAAATGCTGAAACATGGACGTTTGAAAGCTCTTTGGGTGCAAGGCGACGGATTGATTATGTTCTCTTCAAAGTTGATATTGGACACTGCATTTGCAACTGATATCCTTGATATGGGTTCGGACCATCGCGCTGTTTACTCACGAATCCATTTGGGCAAGCGCGTGCCTTTGAACAGGCGGAAGCGCAGCATTCGACGTGGATGGAAACCAGTTTTGAATGAAAAAGGCCAGCCGGACAATTACCATCAAGCGTTGCATGAGGTATTATGTTGTTCTCAACCACGCAAAACAAGAAAAGCGCATGCGATGTGCCGTGGAACTGTGACGGCTTCAAGCAGTTGTTGCTGAGACGCAAGCAAGCAGACACCCGAGGTGAACGAACAGTTCTGCCCAAGCAAATTCGGAAGGAGCTTCGACAATACCTGCGGAGAAAACGGAACGCAAGGACCGCGCAGATCCTATCTAAATTTTCAGACCTGGACAGGCTGGCATCAGTTCGAAATTTTCCGTTCCACACGGTGAGACAAGCAGCGCGCAGTGCTCCTGAGCCCGATGATTTTACAATGCACTTGTCGGATTTATTTTCTTCAGAGGCGGGCTTCGGAACAGAGTTGCTGAATTCACTCATGGACTATGCGAGCCGCCATGGCTTTCAAGACATCCCTCCTTTTCGGATGTCTGAATTGAAGCATGCAGTGTCCAAACTACGAAGCCGCACATGTGCAGATACAGATGGCTTGGTTGTGGAGATGTTCAAGTATGCGAGTGAGGAGTTATTAGCCTACTTACTGGATATTTTCAATTCCATGCTTGCAACCGGCCAGTTGGAACCAACGTGGTGCCATACAATGTTTACGATGCCCCCAAAACAGGGTGACACGTCAGATGTGTCCAATTGGCGGCCGATTGCCGTTCTAAAGGTATCTTACAAAATCTTTTCACGATTGTTGCATTCTCGATTGGAGACGTACCTTGATGCACAGCAACCCTGTGACCAGACAGGTTTTCGGAAAAACACAAGTATTGATGATGCAATGCTTGTTTTTGAATCTGTTTGTGGCAAATCGCTGGAATGGGACCTGGACATGTGGTTTGCCAGTTTGGATTTAACAAAGGCATTTGACAAGATTGAACACGACGCACTGTTTCAAGCTCTGTTACGGCAAGGGGTGCCACCATCATACCTGGCTTTACTGACTTCGCTGTACCGGAAGCAAACGGGATCGGTGCAGGGCGGTCGATCTTTCAGCATTAAACGTGGCGTCAAACAAGGCGACGTCATCAGCCCCATGCTCTTCAACGCAGGCCTGGAACATGCCATGCGAAATTGGAAGCAGAAACTGAGGAACCATGGCCTTCATGTAGGCAAAGAAGAGCGATTGACAAGCGTCCGCTTTGCTGATGATATTATGTTATATGCAAAATCTTGCAGTGAATTGATGCAAATGCTGGAAAGTCTGATCTTGGAGCTGGGCGCCATTGGTTTGCAGTTGAATTCGCGGAAAACAAAGATTTTGACAACCGCTTCGCTAGCGAGCCCTACTTTCTTGGAAGTTGCTGGCCGTTTTGTGGAAGTGTTGTGGGGCGATCGCTCTCACAGCTACTTGGGGAAATTGCTTTGCGGAGACCTGTCCAAACGCAGCTCAGTGGAACTGCGCCACCGTATCCAAGCCGCATGGGCCAAATTCCGAAGCCACACGCAAGTGCTTTGCAACCCGCATATTTCTTTGAAGTTGAGACTTCAGTTCTTTGAGGCCACCATCACGCCAAGTGTACTTTATGGTTTAACAACACTACCGCTTACACAAAGCCAGCTGGACAGATTAGACGCTGCTCAGCGTCGCATGTTGCGATCTATTGTGGGATGGGTCCGTATTGAGGGTGAAGACTGGCGTGACACAATGCACAGAATGAAATTACGACTGCAACACGCGCTGGCGATGCATCCTTTGAGGCCATGGACGCAGCAACTATTTACCCGTCAATACAGGTTTGCTTCCAAGATATCTCGTCGAGATGTGCTTGGCCATGGGCAGTCGTTACATGGATTCCAGGTGATGGTTGGACCCATAATTTCCTGAGAGCGCCAAGAAGGAAACTAGGCCGCCCGCCGAAAAGGTGGGACGATAATTTGAGGACATTTGCACTTGAACATTTGCAAGGCAGGACGTGGATGGTGGCAGCTCGGTCAAGGCAATGGCTTGACAACGAGCATCTTTTTGTACAGTTTTGCCAAGCTACATGACTGCCTCGTGTGTTCCCTGTGTCCTTCATGGACCGTAGTCTCCTGACTCGAACGGGGCAAAGGCAAAGGCAAAGGCTTGTACATGGCTCAAGCCCCTGTAGTACCTGTAGTGCCTTGTGTACCCTAGAAGGGAAAAGAGCCCAATACGCGACGCTGCCTGCGCCCTCCGGGTGACCAAGCTCAACGGTCAGGGCCCTCCGCAGGAACTCAACTGAGTTCCTGGTTCTGCGGGTAGCCCCGCGACCAAGGTCGTGAGGACTACTCGGCCTGCCGCGGGTAGCACCGCGCAGCCAAGGCTGTGCGAGGGCACTCGCCGCTACGTCCCGCCCGGGGTCCTCCTGGTGGGACTGGAGTGGATCTCCGCCAGGAGATCGTCAAGGCCAAGCTCAAGCCGAGCAAGGCCCTTGGTGGGAGAGCCAGGCCTGGTCCGAACCAGCTTGGCAATCTCAAAGCTGGCCCAGCCGGGGCTGGAAAGGCTGGCGAGACTGGAGCCAGCGACCTCGAAACCACCGAGGTGCACGATCTGAAGCGGCTCAGGCCGAGAGGATCGCCCGAGGCATCGCGCGGCGCAAAGCTACAGCGCAGCGCGAGGGAGAGGCTTGGCAGGGTCAGAGGCCAAGCGAGCTGCCAGCGCCCCCGAGCCCGCCGGCCGAGGAGCGCAAGGAGGCAGCAGACGCTGCCAAGGAGGAGAAGTCAGAGGAAGACTCCCCGGCATCTCCAGAGCCAGCAGGTCCGCTTCCGCAAGAGGAGCCTGCAGTAGCTGGGATCGTTGAGGCTGGCCCAAGGGTCAAGCTTATCGAGCGGCCTCAGTGGGCGCCCCTAGGGGCTGGCAAGCCAGCTCTGGAGGCCACAGGAGACAAAAGGTCGTCTTCTCGGGCGGCACAAGCATCACAAAGCTCGTGCGGTCTCAGCTCCCGCCGGCAAGGCGCGAGCTGCGTGGGCCCCTCCGCTTCTCGAGGCAGAGCGGGCAGACCCGCCTCCTCAGGAGCAGGACAGGGAGCGGGAGGAAAAGCCCAAGGCCAGGGCCAGAGGTTTCAGCCCAGTGCGGGAGTCTCCGCCTGGAGCATCGGACTCGGCCATTGAGGAGTCCGTTGATTTTGGGGACGTCAGTGACCCAGATCCTGAGCCGGTCGAGGACTTCAAGCGCAAGTGCAAGCAAGCGCTCATTGCGAGCCGCGCTGGTCAGGTGCAGGCCCCACCTCCAGTCGCAAGGCTGAGAGCGGGCAGTGCCGCCTCGAGCTCGTTGGAGCTGGAGGAGGGGTTGGAGCGGGCAATCCGCCTGGCTGCCGACATTCAAGGGGTATTGAGCCATGGCCGATGCCAGCCAGTTCGCCGCTCAGATGCAGGAACTGGTCTCTCAAGTTCAAGCTCTGACGCATGGCCTAAGCACCCAAAGCGAGGCCCTTCGCCAAAGCGAAGCAGAGCGACAAGCCCTCCGAGCCGCCTTGGAGGCGTCGCAGGCCAAGACCACAGAGCTCACCAACGCCGTCGCTCAGCTGATGCTAGCCCAGGGTCAGGCCGCGCAAAGACCAAACGGTCCAAGCGCGACCGCTGCCGCCGGTAATAGACCGAGCGGGATCATGCATCACATGGATGTGATGAAGGCTGTCCGCACGCCGCAAAATTTGAAGGATCGCGACGGGTCGGAAAAGTTTGTATTCCAAACGGAAACGTATCTAGCCTTCATGGATGGTAGCATGCCAGAGGTTTTGGAAATGAGTCGCAAAGCGACAGACTTTCTGGATCCGGACGAGATGTCCGAGGACACACTAGACCGCTCGCGCAAGCTGTTTGCTATGTTAGCGAGTTGGGTGCAAGATTGCCCGGCAGCAGCCAAGCTGTCACGAGGCATTCGACAGCAGAACGGATTCGAACTTTGGCGCCTCCTGTTTCGCGAATTTGCTCCTGAGAGCCACTCCAAAGCGCTGATTTGGAGAAGAACTCTTTTGAGTCCCAAGTTTCCTGCAAAAGAAGCTGAGTTCAGCGCAGCCCTCCAAGAGTGGGAGGCAGACTTGGACCGGTATGTGTCCGAGTACGGACCAAGTAAGGCCATAGCCGATGAAGACAAGCGGGCCGTGGTCATCACCGAGGCACCCGCAGCTCTCAGGCAACACCTGGCGATGCACGCCGCAGTGCTGAATAGCTACGAAGCTGTCCGCGACGCAGTGGTTGGTTACTTGCAAGCCAAGCGAGTATGGAGCCCATCAGCCACGTACGCGGGAAACACTGCCCGGAAAGACGCCATGGACATTGGCAAGGTGGGCGATGGGAAAGGTTCAGACAAAGGCAAGAAAGGCAAAGGTAAAGGTGGCAAGACCGACAAGGGCAAAGGGAAGAATGACACTCCGAAAGGGGGTGACAAGAAAGAACATGAACACCAAGGGGAAAGGCAAAGGAGACGCGAAGGGGAGGACTGTGTCCAATGTCAACGATGAGACCGCTTCCCAGGTGACTGCGGGCCCCTCCGCGTCCCAGATAGCTCCGGCGCCCAGTGCCGCGTCCAGCGTGCGTGGAGCGGTGCGAACTGTGAGCGAGGGAACCTCTTCCATTCGCATGCTGCGAGTGTCTGAGGGAAAGGGGGACGCCAAGATCCCGGGCGAGATCCTCGCGTTCCACAACCAGCCGGGTTGGCATGGCTTGCCGAGCCAGAAGGTTTATGTGGTTTGTGGCAAAAGCCAGCGCATCAGAAAGAAAGTCACGCCTGGACCACAACACAAGGTCTATGGTTTGAGAACCACTTGGCAACTGCATGATATGCGCCAGCAGTGGGACTGCATCGAACACAGGGTCAAGTGGAAGAACTTGACCAACCCCCATGAGACATTCTCTGGCACTGGAGTTCGGGCCATCATGTTGTTTGAGCAGAACCCTGGTGCGTCCACGGTCGCCCGGGTAGGTGATCTCCTGGTGGACACCGGAGCGTGTACTTCCGTATGCCGTCCCGACGCATTCAAGGCGGCAGTTGACCCGACCGTGGTCGAGTCTCTGTACTCGGTCGACGACAGTCCGCTACACGCGTGCTGGGAGGTCCGCCCGCATCTCACCATTGGGAGCGGGCAAAGCCGCCAGGAAGCGCAAATAGCTTTCCAAGTGGTCGAGGGAATTACCGACAACATCCTTTCGATCAACCGAGCCATCGATGACGGAGCAAGCATCCTGTTTTCGCCGCAGGATTGCTACATCCAATGGCCGGATGGGTCAAAGGCAACCTTCGAGCGGAAGGGAAGGGAATTTGTGCTGCCTTACCGTGAGAAGGATTGGGCCAGTAGAGCGCATGTCCGCATCGCGCCAGTGGTGGACCCAGAGCAAGAGGCTGTTGAGGCTTAGGCTGCGGCAGAGCACAGCAGCGATGACGATGAACTGCCTGCAGCAGAAGCAGAGCACCCAGCTGAGGAGGAGGAAGCCGCTGATGGCGACTTGGAAGAGGAAGCGCTGGTGCCTGAAGCGCCAGGGCCTCTCGCAGCAGAAGCGCCTCCAGCGCCCACTGCAGCCGAAAGGGCAACACACAGTATGACACACCTTCCATTTCAGCCTTGGTGCGAACTGTGCGTGGCAGGTAAAAGCAAGGAAGACCCCCACAGGCGAAGAGCCAATGGGGACATCGGCGTGGAGAAGACACCGGTGATCCAAATTGACTACCTGTTCCTTGGAAGGAACGCCGCCGTGGTGGAGGAAGAGTTAAGTCTCTTCACCATGCTGGTCGCTATAGATGTGGACTCTGGATGGCCTTTTGCCCTCCAGATTCCTAGGAAGGGCCTGGAGCACGGCCAGTATGTGCTCAACAACTTGACGTTGTGGTTGAACAACCTCGGGCACGACAAGGCCGTGGTGCAGCATGACGCTGAAAACACCATAGGAGCCGTAGCCAAAGCTTGGCAGCGCCATGTTGGAGCAGCAAAGCTAAAGATAAGGGCTGCGCCTGTCAGGTCGCACCAGTCGCAGGGTTCTGTCGAATCGGCGAATGGCTTTGTGGCAGGCCAGATCCGAACCTTGTGGGCAGACGTGCAGGAGCGGTATCCTGAGCTGGAACCAACTCACAACGTCATGCCATGGTTGGTCAAGCATGCAGCGTGGCTAATAAGCCGATACCACGTGCGAGGGCAAGACCGGTGCACTCCATTCAAGTTGGTGAACGGTCACGACTACGCCAAGCCCATTTGCCATTTTGGCGAGGTCGTTATGGCAAAAGTTCCCCTGGCCGAAAGCAAACTTGCCAGGAAGTGGCTCAAAGGGATATGGTTGGGCAAGTTGGAGAAGGACGACAGCCATGTCATCGGCACTACCGCCGGGGCAATCGCTGTGCGGTCCGTCCGCCGCTTGCCCAGTGCGGAACAGATCAACAACGATCTGATGGCCTGCGTGCGTGGGCTACCGTGGAAGCCACGAGATGGCAACCGAGTCGCCCCACGTGAGACGTCAAGTGTCGTGGTCATGCCAGCGCCTCCCCACGCAGCCCTCCATGGAGAGCAAGGAGAAGGCGGAGGAGATCCACCGCGCATCGCGGACGATGGAGCTGACATCGACCTAGACGCAGCAGCCGTGGAGGCAGCGGCGGTCATCGAGGAAATGTCGGACTGCAGCCCGAGCGCGCCAGAAGGCGAGCCGCCCGTAGCGGGAGACACCGCCGGAGCAGCGCCCTCTGATCCCTTCAGGGGGGCGGCGTGGCATTCACCTCTTGCTTCGCTACCCGACACACCAATGAGCCCAACTGGACTTGGAGATGGGGGCCTGAAGCGGGAAGCACCGCCAGCTCAGCCAAGCAGCTCAGCAAAGACACCCAAGGTTGCTGGAGATCTGGGAAGCCATCCAGAAATGGGGCGAGTTTGACGAAGCGTCGAACCCTTTTGCGATGCAGCGCATCAGCAACGTAGCTGACTATGTGGATCAGCTCCTCAACCCTGAGCAGGTCCACATAGCGCGCAAAGCGCAGCTCAAGAAGTTGTGGGATAAGAAGGCATTCACGCCCGTCCTTCGAGAGGAGATCCCCAAAGGTTCCCAGATCTTCCACCACAAGTGGGTTGACAAAAGCAGCCGAGGGGTGTACAAAAGTCGCTTCACGTGCGCAGATGTGAAAGCGCGCTACACCAAAAGCCAGGAGGAGATGAACGTGTTCGTCCCTACTCCAACGCCTGAGAGTCATGCGCTCCTTGAGGTGTATGCCCTGGCGCACGGATACCACACGAGGTCTTTGGACATTGTAGCCGCGTTCCTGATCGGCGCGGACAGGGGAGCCGCCGAAGGCAATCCCGTCTATGTCCGAGCACCAGTGGAGTGGCAAGAGCTATTCGAGAAATGGCTTGCGGGCCTAGCGCCGGCGGATCAAGCCAAGTACCGCCACCGCTTCAAGGACCTGCTGTTCCGCCTAGACGGAAACCTGTACGGACGCCGACCAGCAGGTTCCGTGTTCAGGAACGAGCTTGAGGACATCTTGCTCAACAAGCTGGACAAGAAGCGCTACCACTTCGTGCGGGGCGAGAAAGACCCGACGGTCTACCGCTGCACGAAGAGTGGAGTCGTGATCGTGCACCACATCGACGACTTCAGAGGTACAGGCCCAGACGACGCCTTGGACTACCTCTACGATGTGGAGTTGCCGAAGTACTGCGAAGTTCAGAGTGGGGAACTTGAGCGGGTCGGCACTGTTGTGGAAGTGCTGAACCGAACCAAGATCCGTCTGGAGGACGCCATCCTCACACAAGCAGATAAGGTGCATGTCGAGAACATCAAGAATGCGCTCGGGGTCACCAAGGAAAGGTCCGAGGTGCCAAGCCGCCAACTTAACCTCCTGGAAGTGATGCCACTTTCAGAGGAGGATGCGCGAGCCTATCGCAGCGCAGTTGGCAGTGCCATTTACCTTTCTGCGGACCGAAGAGATATCCAGTTTGCCACGAAAGAGTTGGCCAGAAGGATGTCCAATCCCAGGGAATGCGATTTGAAAGCTGCCAAGATACTAGCAGCCTACCTAAACCGCCATCCAGAGATGTACACAGTGGTAGCTCTGGAAGCGGGAGCCACCGCCCAGAACGAGCTGACCCTGGACCTGTTCACGGACTCGGACTGGGCCGGATGTCTCGAGACGAGACGCTCCACCGACTGCTACATTGCCGTGCTTGGAGGAGCTGTAGTGGCTTGCGGGTCACAGACGCAGCCGGGACTCCCAGCAACTAGCTCGCCTGATGCTGAGCTGCGTGGCGTGAGCAGGGGGGCGCGAGAAGCTCTCTTCATAAAGGAGCTGGCCACGATCGACTTCGGGCTGAAGGTCAAGAAGCCTAAGCTCTGGACCGATTCGAGCTCAGCTCAGGCGGCAGCCAGGAGGATCGGGCCAGGATCCAAGCTTCTGCGAGTTCTATGTGCAAGGAGCGATCCAAGCTGGAAAGCTTAGCGTTGGAAAGGTCAAGGGCGCTTGGAACCCAGCCAACTTCTTAACGAAGCCCTCGCTAGGAATGCTGGAGAGCCTTGACATCACCCAATTCCAGCGCATCAACGTCAAGGTGTCCGCGGTAAAGCGGCAGCCTTGGAAGCCAGGCTTCCCTGCCAAGCTTGAGGACGCTGGCGCGGGAATGGCCGCCCAGGCAGCGGGACCATCCGCCTTGTGCAAAAGCACAAAGTTGGGAGAAAGCAAAGGCCAAACCAAAGGTCAAGGCGTGCGGTCGCCCCCGCCGGCAAGCCCGAGACATGAGGGCAACCTCGCTGTTCGAGCGGGAAGCTCCGCCCCCGGACGGAGGGTAAAATAGTTGAATTTGCTTGTACAAAGAGCAGTTCACATGCCGCCTTTAAGGGGGGTGGCGAATTTTCCATGAATCCCATGACATGTAAAGTAAAGATGTAAAGATCGTCATGTGAGATGTTAACTGGCAGAGGCTTGTGTATGTTCTTGTACATGGCTCAAGCCCCTGTAGTACCTGTAGTGCCTTGTGTACTCTAGAAGGAACTAGACGACGAGTGGCCCGGAAGCATAGAGGCAAGTTGATGCAGGTGAGGTAACTCTCGCAAAGTTAGCATGAGGAGTTGGCAGGCGAAGCAACTCTCAAAAAGTTGGCATGAGAAGCTGGCAGGTTAAGTAACTCTCGAATAGTTGGCTGGCAAAGTTGGCGGGTGAAGTAATTCTCGCAAAGTTGACATGAGAAGTTGGCAGGCGAAGTAACTCAAGAGAAAAGTTGGCATGAGAAGTTGGCAGGTGAAATAACTCTCAAAGAGTTGGCATGAGAAGTTGGCAGGTGAAGTAACTCTCGAAAAGTTGGCGTGAGAAGCTGGCAGGTGAAGTAATTCTCGAAAAGTTGGCACGAGAAGATGGCGCGTGAAGTAACTCTCGAAAAGTTGGCGTGAGAAGCCGGCAGGTGAAGTAACTTTCGAAAAGTTAGCATGAGAAGTTGGCAGGCGAAGTAATTCTCGAAAAGTTGGCGCGAGAAGTTGGCAGGCGAAGTAACTCTCGAAAAGTTGGCAGGCGATGTTGGCAGGTGAAGTACCTCTCGAAAAGTTGGCATGAGAAGCTGGCAGGTGAAGTAATTTTTCGAAAAGTTGCCACGAGAGGTTGGCAGATAAAGTATTTCTCGAAAAGTTGGCATGAGAAGTTGGCAGGTGAAGTAATTCTCGAAAAGTTGGCAGGTGAAGTTGCCACGAGAGGTTGGCAGGTAAAGTATTTCTCGAAAAGTTGGCATGAGAAGTTGGCAGGTAAAGTAATTCTCGAAAAGTTGGCATGAGAAGCTCGCAGGTGTAGTAACTCTCGAAAAGTTGGCATGATAAGCTCGCAGGTGAAGTAACTCCTCGAAAAGTTGGCACGAGAAGTTGGCAGGTGAAGTAACTCTCGAAAAGGTGGCATGAGAAGCTGGCAGGTGAAGTAATTCTCGAAGTTTCGGCATGAGAAACTGGCAGGTGAAGTAATTAACCCTCAAAAAGCTGGAGCGGCGGAGGCGCGCCGCGTGCTACATTTGCAATTTACAGTTGCGATTTTCCAGCCATTTGTATCTAAAGTTGCGATTTTCCAGCCGGAGCTGCGGGAGCACGCTCCGCGTACTACGTCTGTACTTAAAAAGTGCGATTTTCCAGCCGTAGCTGCAGCAGCCTCCGCGTACTACGTCTGTACTTAAAAGTTGCGATTTTCCAGCCGGAGCTGCAGGAGCACGCTCCGCGTACTACGTTTGTACTTAAAAGCTGCGATTTTCAAGCCGGAGCTGCCGCGGACCAGGGGGGAATCGAACCCGGGACCGCGGGATTGCGAAAGCAGGCGCGCGCACCACGAGACAACTTCCAAAAGCCGTTTCGCGAGCAAGAAAATCGCACGGCGCCACAGCGAGAGCGCTTCGACACGCACGATCTCCGCAGAGGGTTCATCGGGCTCAAGACAAATTCGCACGGCGCCACAGCGAGAGCGCTTCGACACGCAGGATCTCCGCAGAGGGTTCGCCAAGGTCAAGACAAATTCGCACGGCGCCACAGCGAGAGCGCTTCGACACGCACGATCTCCGCAGAGGGTTCGCCGCGCTCAAGACAAATTCGCACGGCGCCACAGCGAGAGCGATCGACACGCACGATCCCCGCAGAGGGTTCATCGGGCTCAAGACAAATTCGCACGGCGCCACAGCGAGAGCGCTTCGACACGCACGATCTCCGCAGAGGGTTCGCCGGCTCAAGACAAATTCGCACGGCGCCACAGCGAGAGCGCTTCGACACGCACGATCTCCGCAGAGGGTTCGCCGCGCTCAAGACAAATTCGCACGGCGCCACAGCGAGAGCGCTTCGACACGCACGATCCCCGCAGAGGGTTCATCGGGCTCAAGACAAATTCGCACGGCGCCACAGCGAGAGCGCTTCGACACGCACGATCTCCGCAGAGGGGTGCGTTTCGTAAGCTCCCGTCGGGCCTACCCCCGCCATAAAAAGAAGAAGAATTAAGAGTCGAGAAGTGAAGGTACAGAAAAGTTAGCTTGTGTTTTTAGGATAGTGAAGTAACACCCGACAAATTAGCTTGTGCTTTTAGTAGAATGAGATAACAGCCGAAAAGTTGACATGAGAAGTTGGCAGGTGAAGTAACTCTCAAAAAGTTGACATGAGAAGTAGGCAGGTGAAGTAACTCTCGACAAGTTGGCATGAGAAGTTAGCAGGTGAAGTAACTCTCGGCAAGTTGGCATGAGAAGTTGGCAGGTGAAGTAACTCTCGACAAGTTGGCATGAGAAGTTGGCAGGTGAAGTTGGCAGCCGCTTTTAGAAGAAGAACCCTTCGCAATGCTTCCGGGAAAAAGAGCCCAATACGCGACGCTGCCTGCGCCCTCCGGGTTTCGCACGTGGGCTCAGGTGGGAGCAAGCGAAGGACATGGTTGCGCGGAGGAGTGCAGCAGAACAGCAAAAGCAGCCAAGAAGCCTGCACGTCCTCCAGGGCGGGAAGTCGAGCGAGAAGCGCGCGCTGGCTCGCAGCGAAAGCGTCGAGCTGAGCTGCGACAAACTGGGGGGAGCCAACGGGCACGCCGAGCACGCGGAGACCCCGCTGGGTGGGGGCCAAGGCAGGCGATCCGACAAATACAGGAGCCTCCCCAACAGCAAGTGCGGAGATTCCGCGTTCCAGACCCGCGTGTTGCCATGGTTCAGGCGGATGCACGCAGAGCGCCACAGAACAAACGGACGAACGGGAGACAGCGGTTAGCCCCGGCCCGCCGTGACACGTTGTCAAAGGCACCAACCCCATCCACAGAAAGCACGGTAGCCTCAGGACCAAGCTCAACGGCCGAAGCCAAGGCATGGACCACGCCTCAAGAAAAGCGGGGGCGTGTTGCTGAGCCAAGGACCGAGCGACCAGCTGGACACGGCCAGACGGCTTCTCAGGCAGACACGACTTCCGGGGGGACCTCCGCGCGGGCCAGCGACTGAGCGACCTTCTAAAACCGATCCGAGTCAACCTCACTATCCAGCATAAGCCGTGCTGATTCGGCGGTGAGGCCGGAAGGTCCTGGGGCGGCGCCCTTCTTTGCCCGGCGCAAATTGGCTAGAAGGATGTCCCGGCGCAGGGCGGCGGGCTCAGCAGGCTGGAAAAAGAGGACCTCGGACGACAGAGCGGAGTACGGAGCCGCAGGTCGCGCGCCGCCGGGCCGTGTGCGAAGGAGCAGTTGGGTGCAGCCCACTCCTGCTTGGGGAGCCGGCGTTCCCCGGCTTTGCGATGGAGCAGCATGCGGGGCAACAGGAGCCAAAGTTTCCAAGCTCGAAACTGCGGTGATGCTGCGGAAAAAAGGCGCGTGGGGGAAAAAAACAGAAAAAAACTCGAAAGGGCGGCAACAGGGTAAGCTTCGGGGTCGCCCGCTTCCAGGACCGCCTGCAAAGCGAGGGAAAAAGCTTGGCGGACTTGACCTTTAACAAACGCAGGGGGGCCCTGGAAAGTGTGCACCCGAAGCAAAATAGCAGAGTCCCAAGTTTCCCCCAATCACAAACAGTACTGTTTTGCGCATACAGTTATCCTTTCTTTCAAGTCACGCGAAAAATGCGCTTGTACATTGACAGCATCTAATCGAGGTCTTGTGTGTACACCCGATGGTCGTCGCAGAAACCGAACACCCATATTCTCGTGCACTGATATGAAGCTTTGGTTGGCTGCGTCCCCCTTTTTTGGGGTTGGTTTTTCGTTTTTGGGTTTGTTGTTTGGGCTGCCCCTGGTTGTGGTTCTCGTTGGTTCGGCGCGGCCGGAAAAAAGAAAGAGAAGCGGGCCGGAAAAGAAAAGGACAAAACACAAAACAGGGGGGACCGACCCGTTGACCAACGGTCCACAGCCTCGGGGGGACCGACCCCGTGATCAACGGTCAGCGTCCTGGAGGATTGGCTGTTTTCCTCTCCCGGCTTCGTTGGCTTTGTTGGCTTTCTGTTCGCCATGTCGGGCCTTGACTCTCCCGTCCGTGCCCTCTTCGCCCAACCTCCCTTCGGTCACCCCTCCGGCTGCTGGTTCTGTGCGCTCACCGTCCCTGTCCCTGGCGCCAGCTGCCCAGCGCCCAGTGGGGAAGTGACACCCCCATCGGCCCACCGGGGGAGAACCTGCTTGGAACCCGTGCTCCCCAGTGGCTTCGGTGAGCACAGTGCGTGTTTTTGGCCTGGCTGTCGTCACATGTGCCACGCTGAGTGTGTGGCGCAGATGCGTGCCCGGATGGCGCAGTGGCCAAGACCTCTTGTGCCCGGGGGCATCCCTTAAACAGTTTTTCCTGGAGGGGGGCAAAGCCAGGCGCGCGCCTCCAAGACCAGGATGTACAGGGCAACGCCCGGTGTGGCGTGCTGACAAGCCGCTGGCTGAGCGCGGCCAGCAACTACTTGCTGCGAGTGCTCCCGCCCGCCGATGCGCGGATTCGCACGACATGGCTGTCGCGCGGTGCCTCCAAAACCTGCTTGGTGACCCGGACTTCGCCCGTGACCCGCGGCAGCCCGCAGCCAGGCGTGCGGGGAGTCCTGGGCCGACTCCATGCCGGTTATCGGCGCGCGGCACCCGCGCACCCTGGCGCGGATACTCGCAGGGCTGGCCGACTCAGCAGGCTCCCAAGCCACCCCATCGATGCGCGCGGCAGCCCACGCAGAGGAGGTGTTGCGGACGGCTGGGTTCGCTGCGCCGCCATGGGCGGCGACGAGCTCGCCAGCCAGCAGCAGTACTTCGGGGACACCGCGCGAGGTTGGCAGCAAGCCGCCTGCGCCCATTTCACTTGGACCGGAGGACCCCATTTTCCGAACTCGATCCAGCGTCTCTTCCCTTATTGCTGTCTCAAGCCGGGCCAGGCGGTAGCGTTGCCGCCGCCGTGCTGCCGACTGCGCCTGCCGCTGCCGTTGGGGCCTTGGGCATGCCGCTGCGGGGGTGCCCTTGACCCACTCGGTGACCACCGGACTGCTGTGCTCGTCCGCCGGCCGACGGCGCGGGTTTCCTCAACCCTGCCGTTGTCCGACGGGCGACGGCTGGAGCTGTCGACGCGGCGCTTGTGAGCCCGGTGCGGTGCGATGGGCTCGCGCCGACGCCGCGCGGCGCGGTGCCGCCTCGTTGTCGTCGCCCTCGAGGTTGGGGGGCGCTGGGGGGACGAGACGGAAGCCTTCTTGCGCCGTTTGGGGGCAGTTGCTGGCGGTCGCGGAACAGGGCGCGCTCGCGGCCAGCCTCAGCTCGCTTCCTCCCGACGCTGGCGACGCCGCTGCCGGGGCGCCGCCGCTGGGCGACGTCATGTCCGTCGCCCGCTGGGCGCCGGACGCATGAGGGCCGTTGTGTTTCACCCCAGCTGGACGGAAAAAGGCGCGTAGGAGCAAACAAATACACACGGGTGTTGCACCGTTGAACCCTGCAGCAACGCGTGCTGCGCGACGTGTCCTTGTTGGGTCGGCCCCTCCAGAGCTGCTCCGCCGCCATCCCGACCGCTTCCTGCCTTGAGCAGGTGAGGATGCTGGCCTCAGAAAAGCAGCGTGAATGCCCGGATCCCTTGCTGCTGAAATGCTGCTGAAAAGGATCCATCAAAATGTTTCGTTTCGTTTTGGTGCGAGCCTGCCCTGCAAAAACAAGTTAGTTGTGCCATGTTTTGACCTGCTCCAACTCAGTGTGCATTTGCTGAATCGCCACGCGATAACTCCTTGGCGTTTGGCAAGAGCCTTTCTTCCTTACGATCCTGCTGGAAGCCCGCACCCGCCTCAGTGCCAGGCGCTCAGGTTGGTCGTTAGCTGTTGGAATGTCAGCACAAAAAAAGGAACTGTCACACTTTTGGATGGCGTCATGGTGTGGGAAGAGGAACCATAGCAAAAAAACACGAGTTTGTTGCGTTCCTATCCACAGGACGAGGTAAAGCGAGAGATCCAGTGGGGTGATTTGGCGTTCTCGGGGTGTCTCATTCTATGTTGCAATACTACGGACATGTCAGTCACGAGTTTGTTTGCTGCGGCACGCCGCCCTTGCGGAGGTTGCCGACATGGCCGAGCGTCGCATTGATCCCGAAGATGGTGCCGCGTGACCCGCAGGACGCGTCCATTTTCCTTTTTTTTTTCTTCTTTTTTTCTCTCTCCCGCCTTTTTCCATCAGACGGCTGACAGGGCCCTGATCGGAGCACAATCTGAGGTGAGTCCTCTTGTGTTTGGCAAGTTGTGTGAGGGGGGGAGGATGCACTCCGGTTGCAAGGTACACCTGGGAGGAGTTCTCGGCGTATTATGCTGGAAAGCCAGGGCCCAAGGGTTAAAATGCGTGTTTGCATTGCCAGGGAACCGTCACTGCTCCAAATTGAAGTTTTACTTTTTCACGTGCTTGGCAGAAGGGATGAGGTTTGTAAGCTTTATCAGGCAGCCTCTTGCTTTTGCATGCACAGACCGCGCTTGGATATTGTTGTGTACAGATGGACGGCACCTTGCTTTGTCTTGGCAAGGAAGTTTGGTATGGTAAACAAGAATCGACAAGAATCCTTTCTTCTTTCGACCAGCGTGAGGTATAAGAAAAAGGCCGTTGAAGCGTATTGGGAGGAGTGCGAGAAGCGAGGCCTGGCCGCAGATGCTGCCCAGACAAAATTTGGGAGAATGTAGTGAACGCCAAGCGTTTAGGTGTCGTTAAGCGATTTCCAGGCTAAATTCTTTACCGGGCTTCATATTTCTGGATTTGGGCACTTATAGTAGCTTATGGCACTTGCCTTTTCCCTTCTGGACCAGGTTTGGTTTGATTCACAATGTCTTTTACATGGGATTTATCTTTGTCGTCCATTCCCCCTCTCATCCTTTCATTGTGAAGGAGACTGTGCAGGAAGCTCCGCTGCTGCATGTTTCACGGCTAGCCTTGGTGGCACTTGCAGAAATTCGCGCCAGCTGCTGGTGAAAACGCCCGTCAGGACGGACACGTGCTTCGGCCAAGGCGCTGCAGCGGCTGGGAAGTATGGGAAATCTTTGTTGCCTTGACCTAGGGACATCGATCGACACTGTCATTTTTGAGGGTTGTAGGGCACTATTAACATAGTAAAAAGATAAGAAATAAATAAAACAATTCTAATGTTTTACAGCTACTTCTTAATAAGGCTGTCTTTCACATCATACCTTCCAAACCCAACTGTAAAGCCAATACTAACAAGATGTTTTTTTTTTTTTTTTTTTTTTTTTTTTTTTTTAATATTATTAGGGTGAGGCTGACAGGTTGTTAAGATGGGAGAGTGAGCGCAATCAGTTCAGTCAATTGGTTCATGTCAAGCCGACAGCTCGAACGCCGTGAAGGCCAAGGCCAAGGACGAAGCATGGGGGAAAAAGGCAGAGCCAAAAGCAGCTCCGAAGGCTGGCCAAGCGTACACGGGAAGGCTAAAGTGCGTTGGGCGGTACAACCGTCAGGCGAAGGCCAAGGCCAAAGTGAAGGCCAAGGCCAAGGCCAAGGATGCGAAGGAGCCACGGGGAGCCAAGTTTTTTGTTTCCCTAGGTTTGGCGGATTGAATCGGTGGTAGCCGGGTCGGCAAGTCGGCCGTCGTGTTGTCGCGTGACACGTTGTCTTGTCGTGGCCGCACCGCAAACCGAGCCTGGACTCACCCCAGGAAGCTACCATGAGCCAAAATCAACCCGAACCCGACCTCATCAAACTTACACTCGAAAGGAGCGACGCTAATACCACACAATTTCTACCCGAACCCCACCCCAAGAATCAGCCTCAAGCCCGCCCGTGACCCTGAATCAATCTGAAAGCCCAAATGAACCATCAACTCCTAAACTCTTTTTTTAATACATTCTTTCTTGACCATCCGAACCCATCCACACATGTGCCCGCCCGAAATCAGCCAGAATGCCACCCGAGCCAACCGTACGCTCATGCGAACTCAGCTTGATACAATCGGACACCTGCACTCTTAGTTTCGGCATGCAAAAAATAGTTTCTCCGTAGACTAACATCATGAACACGCTTCCTGCAGATCAAAGCACAATCGTCCGGAAACAAGAACTCTGCGGGTGAGGATGGCTTTCCATTTTGCAGCCAGCAATAAAGGAGAGAAAGACGGATGCGCTTTCTTTTTTGATCCTTGTGGTTCAGAGTGTTGATTCTGAGCCACTTTGGTCCTGCGACTTGATCGCATTTTCAGTCGTTTGGGTGGGAGCCTGGGGCATTCGTGCCTCGAGGAGGTCAAGTCTGCGGGCAACTTCAAGGCAGTGCACTGAAGCTGATTGGAAGTTGCATTTCGGAGGGCTGTTGGAAAGGAACGGGCCAGGTCTGTGTCTGTGGCGGTGCGGGTGGCATCGGCCAGCCGCTGTCCATGCTCATGGCCTTGGATCCCAATGTCAAGGACGAGTCGGGCTTCCGTGGCGCCTGGCTATCCCCCACAAGAATTGCTTTTTCTTTGTAACGATAGGCCGATCATTTTGGCGCCTATCGCTTTAGGAGTTGTGTGTCTTCGATCTCAGCGTCGCTATGGTGCCCCCTGCCGGCGTCGCTGCGGATCTTGGCCACTTGGAGAGGCAAGGGTGCAGCAAGTGAGTGGTGTGGTGTGGCGAGCATATCACAGCCATCTTTGCCGCCAGGAAGAGCGAGGTGAAGGGCTACGTTATGGAGGTTGGGCAGAAGCCAATTGACAACCTCAAAGAGTCGTAGCCTTAGCATTGGCTAATGCTGCTCAGTTTCTGCTACCTCTGAAGACCCCAAGGTGCCTCACGGGTTGTGATCTGGTCTTGGTGCCTGCGGGCATGCCCCGCAAGCCTGGCATGACTCGTGATGACCTCTTCAAGGCGAGACCTTGAGTGCCTGATAAAGCTTTGCTGGACTTGGGCATGTCTTCGGTTCGGAAGTGAAGCATTGTGGCACGACCGGCGCAGGTAAACGCTGATATTGCCAAGGGCATTGTCGAGGCTTGCGCGAAGTTTTGCAGGGCTCCCCGGTTTTCCAGACCTGGGCCGGGCGATGCGGGTTACGAAGCGAATGGAGCTAGATGCCCACCCCGTGCCTAGCATTGTCAAGCCACGGCTGAGGCCCCGATGCTGTCCTGGGCCTTGTCGTGAACCCCGTGAATTCCATCGTGCATCGACCCCATCTACAGCACATTCTCCGGAGGGATGGGAACAGCGCGGGCCTGTCCAGGCCAGCCATGGCTGAGCTGTACAAGAAGAAGGGCCTGCGCCTGAGCACCCTGTGGTGCAGAGTGCAGGTCTCCGCGTTTTCGACTGAGGCCTGGACCCCCTAAAGATCGTCGGAGTCACCACGCTGGATGTCGTTCGCGCCAACAAGTCGCATGGCTGCATGAGTGCTGAGTTGAGGCAGTCGTTGCATCAGACTGCCGAAACCAAACTGTGATACACTGTGCAACCCAAGGTTTTGCGGCGAGATCATGAACAAGAATCCAAACTATATTAATGTGCTGTTCTCAAAGTTGTGCCCGTAAGCACGTAGAGTAGAGAATGAATGATGTCTGAAGCTGCATCCTAATCTGCAACTGGCCGCAACGCTCCGTGCCAGCCCCCAAACGCCTGTGTCGAGGTGCCCGTTGTGGGTGGCCACGCTGGAACCACCATCCTGCCGCTATTCTCGCAGGACAAGGCTTGGTTCTCAGGCCGTGTGCATGCCTGGTGCCTGCTTCTGTGAGGTGGCCAAGCTCATCCCCGAGGACAAGATCCCTGACCTGGACAAGCCACGGTCTTGGGGTTGGGTTCGCTGTCCCTCCCGACTGAAGGGTTTGCGGTCTTCCGCTCTGTGCCCAGTGCCAATGTTTGGGGTCTGCAGGTAAGGAGGTGCCACCAAGCCACAAGCCGCATTGTCCAGACGACTTGATGTTGGCACATCAGCTGGGTTTGCCTAAGGCACGTGCAGGATGCAGCAGCCTCAGTTCGCCTTTCTGACGCCCATGAGGGCATCGTTAGGCTTGTTTTGCAGTCGTTGAATTCCTAGCTTGCACTGGTGCCGCGATGTTTGAACAGCACGCCTTTGAGGCTGGAACTGATGTGGTGAATGCGAAGAGTGGCAAGGGCAGCGCGACACTGTCAATGGCTTATGCAGGCACTGGCCCGGCTAGAGACCTCTGGTTTTGGGGTCGGTATTCTGCCGCCAGGCGCCCGCCTGGGCAGGTCCGTGCTTGCGGGCCTGCCAGCATCTCAGGGTAGGAGGGAGGGAGGGAGGGAGGGAGGGAGGGAGGGAGAGGGAGGGAGGGAAAGGGAGAGAGAGCGACAGGGGGAAAGGGAAAGGGAATTCGATCCGAGGATGGGCAAGAAACGAACAGAGTGCGCCTACGTGAAGTCTGACATTACGGTGCACCTTCCGTGCTTCTGCCTGAGCGGCGCCCACCTCTTCGTCCGCAAAAGCATCACACTTGGCGCGACACATCCTGCCAGGACCTGCCCTACTTTGCCTCCAAGGTGCAGTGCCGCCCCCAGTGTGCCATCATCTAGGGTAAGTTTACGGGCCGAGACACACAAGTTGCCGTTTTGGTCGGTCAACTTGGCTTTGGCCCCGCAGCCAGAGTAGATAGGTTAGTCACAGTTGGGTGGGGACTGGGCCAGGTCAATTTCCATGCGGATGGCCTGATTAGACATGAAATTGCGTTTGACGAAATGTTGAAATCGTGACTTGTTCTCTAATCCGGTCTTTTTGTTTGGTCGTTTTTAGGGGCATAATACGCACCTTGTTACATGTGTCAAACCTATGAAAAAGCCGGAACATTTGGCAGCATGTGCTCCGCTGCTGCTCGTGGTTTCATTGATTCGCGTGGAGTGACGGAACTCGGAAGGAACATGTTCTCATCGGTTCTCAACAGCCATAAGGGCTGTTGGATTCACTAGCACACGGCTACCAGGTTCGGCGAGAAAGGTGTGTCGAAGGCACGGGCTATGCAGGGATGCGGTGATGTGGCATGCATGTGGGCGCCCCTGCTCCCTGCTGTAGCTGCGGACCCTGCCGACTCGTCGTTCCGGCCACCTCGGCCCGCATTTTGCTGTGATTTGGCACGGATGCAGCGCCCTGGTGACATGGGGGTTTCTCTTCTGCCATCAGCTGCCACCGCGCGTCGCCCTACATGCCCGTGACAGTGGGCCTGAGAGGTCCTCCCCATCGGAGAGTTGAACGAGTACGAGACCAAGCGAATGGAGGAGGTGAAGGCTGGGCGCTTTTTGGTTTCTGGCTTCAGGTTAGATTGCTTCGTGGGCAGGCTCAGCTGAAGGGCGAGATTGAGACCGGCCTGAAGTACGCGGAGGACTGGCTGGTCGGTGCAAACACGCAGTTTCTTGTCTTCTCCTGGGGGTTGTTCAGGAGAACAGCTTGGCCGACTGAGTTTGCCGGCCAGGGAAGGTGCTTTGGGCGTGACTTTCCTCCAAGACCAATACGTCATGTTTGCCCAGCCCTGTACACAAGCAACCGCGCTGCCATCACATTCCATGAATGTGCACTCGTCGTGCTGGGTTTTCGAGCAAAGTGCTCGAGAGGGGCTCTGGCGAGGCCTTGCCGCGTTAAGATGCCCCCTCTCAACAGTGAGGCGCGCGGCGGCGGCAAGACGGATAACAATGCTAGTGGTGAGAGGTTGTTGACAGTTCGGGGACATTGAGCAGTGAGATTTCCCACGCTGAGAGCTGCAGGCCGTCGTGGTGGCCGCATTGAGGGCCGCATTGAGGGCCGCATTGTTGGCTGCTGTGCGCTTTCGAAAAGCCTCGGGCTTTTAAAGCCAGCGATTCTCCATAGCAATATCCTGCTCCCCTTCAGATCAAACAAGGTGACCTTTGCCAAGTTCCGCTCAGCAAATGATGAGACCGCGCTGGACTGTGCCTGTGTGCTACTTTTTTTGGCCATTAGCTTTTCCAGACCATGATCAGAACCTGCCCCCCCTCAGATTCATTGTTATTCGAAAGACCGAAGTCAAGTTATCTCGGGCCACTACGAAGGCAGCTCAGCTGGTGGCGGCCACCGCCACTTCTACACAGCTCTTTGAACGGAGTCCGAACACGCTGCACAGGCTATGAGAATCTATGAGAGCATGCTTCGTTGCAGCGTTGGACATGGTTTCAGTGGCTGTGGCCGTGGTCTGAAGCAATCGGGCAGACTCCCCAGATGAGAGCCGTGCATTTGAGCAAGAGGCTGCACCTATGGACCTGACAGCCCAAAAAAACGCATCCGAAGCTGAGCACGCGAGTTTTGGACCCAGAGCAGGGGTGTCAAATCCAATCCTGTGGTCAATTGCTTTCCACCCCCCTGCAAACATGGAAGAAGCCTGTTCAAAAGGCAAAGCTTCCACTTTTGTTTTTTCGCGGTGGGTGGCAACGACCTTTCGTGCAAGGCAAATCCTCATCCCTCAGATGGCGCTTTGCGGCTGGGTGTCGAAACGAGCATGGGCCCATGGATTTAGGAAGCAACCATGTCGGCCAGTTAAACCTTGGCCCGTACTCGCAAGTCCGGGAGCTGTTTGGCTTGGCGGGATGGTTGTCCCGAAAGCGCTGGGGCAGTCTGGCACTGAGGTATCAAACCTGGTGGGTGGATGGGAAGCAATTTTACATTTTGGTCTTCGTGATTTCCTTTTAGTCCCTATGCTTGACATGGCCATGAGTTTCCGCGTCAGAGTCAGCCGCAGATGCCTTGTGCCAGGTGTGCCTTTGGCATTTGCTTGGTGTGTTCACTTTTTCCGGCAACCCGCCTGCACTTGGAAGTGCGCGGTTCGTTTTGGGCATGTTCGTTCTAGCTAGCCCCTCAGGGCCAAGACAATGTTTATTTGGTTGGTCAGTTGGTTGGCCTGTCATTCGGTTGGACAGTTGGGTGGTTGGTCTGCTCGAATGGTCGATGAGTTAGTTGATTTGCTCACTAATTTACTGCCTGCTTTTGATCGAAGCTTCCTTTTGTTTGACGGACGGATGGACGGACGGACGGACGGATGGATGGATGGATGGATGGATGATTGGATTGGATTGGATTGAGTTTGGTTGGAATGGAGTGGAGTGGATTGGAATGGAATGGATTGGATTGGATTGGATTGGATTGATTGATGGATTGGATGGATTGGGCGGATCGATCGATCGATCGATCGATCAATTGTTTGAATGATATTGGATGGATGAATGGATGGATGGGATGGGATGGGATGGGATGGGGTGGGATGGGATGGGATGGGATGGGATTTGATTCATTCATTCATTCATTCATTCATTCATTCATTCCTTCCTTCCTTGCTTCATTCATTGGTTGCTTGGTTGGTTGGATGCTTCGTTGCTTGATTGCTTGATCGATCGATCGATCGATCGATTGGTTGGTTGGTTGGTTGGTTGGTTGGTTGGTTGGTTGCTTTGATTGGTTGGTTGATTGGTTGGTTGATTGATTGGCTGACTGATTGATTGATTGATTGATTTGATTGATTGATTGATTGATTGATTTGATTTGATTTGATTTGATTTGATTTGATTTGATTTGATTTGATTTGATTGGTTGGTTGGTTGGTTGATTATTTGATTTGATTGATTGATTTGATTTGATTTGATTTGATTTGATTTGATTTGATTTGATTTGATTTGATTGGTTGGTTGGTTGGTTGGTTGATTATTTGATTTGATTGATTGATTTGATTTGATTTGATTTGAATGATTTGATTGATTGATTGATTGATTGGTTTGGTTTGGTTTGGCTTGGCTTGGTTTGGTTTGGCTTGGTTTGGTTTGGTTTGGGTTGGGTTGGTTTGGTTTGATTTGATTTGATTGATTGATTTGATCTGATTTGATTTGATTTGATTGATTTGATTGATTTGATTGATTTGGTTGATTTGATTGATTTGATTGATTTGATTGATTTGATTGATTTGATTGATTTGATTGATTTGATTGATTTGATTGATTTGATTGATTTGATTGATTTGATTGATTGATTGATTGATTGATTGATTGATTGATTGATTGATTGATTGATTGATTGATTGATTGATTGATTGATTGATTGATTGATTGATTGATTGATTGATTGATTGATTGATTGATTGATTGATTGATTGATTGATTGATTGATTGATTGATTGATTGATTGATTGATTGATTGATTGATTGATTGATTGATTGATTGATTGATTGATTGATTGATTGATTGATTGATTGATTGATTGATTGATTGATTGATTGATTGATTGATTGATTGATTGATTCAGTTTGTGTTTATCCACTTACCGAGCCATTGGTTCCCTTAATCAACGTTTTCTTCAGAGAGTGGGGTCTCCTGGGAGGTGGGGTTTTCCACAAAGCAGTTTTTCAATGATACTAGTGCACTACCTCCTATAAACCTTGTTTGAATCATTAGGGAAAACTGCCTGAACAATCCTGCATCCACTTTGGTATGAATCATTTGAGTACTTTGCTTCAAAACTACTGAGCCTTAATTAATTCAGAAGGGCGATTCACGTTTTGAATGAGCATTAAATGCTTGCTTAAGTAGGCTTCAACCTGTTTTGACTAGAATTCTTCTTTCAAATTATATTCTGAACGTGGCATCCTTTCCCAGGATGAATGACATGTGCAATCTTTTCATTATTTTTGACAAACATGTCGAAGGACTGAATTGTAGTGGAATTTCTAGTTTTAAGTAGAATTTAGATGGCATGTCCTTTTCGAAGATGCTTTCAATCGGATTTCATTAGAGTTCTTGCTCCGAATCATATTTCACAGCTGATGTCCTTTCCCAGGAGGAGTTGTTCATGCTTGCTTCACGAGAAGTCAGTATACATTAACAAGGGGCGAATTCTAGAGAATTGATGATTCTGTTAGAATTGAAATAGGGTCTCCTTTTTAAAGAGGATTTCAATCAAATGTCACTTAGTTGTGTTGTAACATCAAGTTGAAACTTAAAGGTGTTTTCATGCTTTTATGCAAGCGATCTAATAAGCACAGAGTCCTGGTATACTTTCCGTTTCAATTAGAATTTCAGTATGGCGTTCCTTTTGAAACAGGAGTTCAAGTAGAATTTAATTTGAATTGTTAAGTCAAGTTGGACTTTAAAGGGAGTTCCCTTCCCAGAAGGATTTGTTCAATCTCTTGATTAGACTTAGGAAAACATGAATATGGAAAGAATGCCAGCAGAGTCTCTACAGAACTTCAATTATAATTGTAATCTGATAGATTTCATATAGAATTCATATATCAAAATATACTATATTTGCTTTGTATTTTTTAGGATATTCATTTCAATGTTTCAATTATAATTATGATAGAAGAGTCTACTGGATTCCGCTTTGTTCTTTGGGACAGTCTTGAGTTTTTTGGGGGTCTGGGCTTGCCAGGATATTTGTTTCCGGGGCAGTTTGGCATTTGGCGAGCCAGGCCCCAACAAAGTGTGGGAACTGTCCCAAAAGCCCAGCCGCAAGAATACTGAGACACCAAGAAAACGAGAGCACGGAGAAACACAAAAACAGTGCTTTTAGAAAACCCAACACGGGCACAGAAGCACTTTTACAAGGGCCCAGCGGAAAACACAGAGAGATGCTTTGCAAGTTCCAGCACTGCGCAAACTTTACTTTGTGCAGCAGGAACAGATTTTTTCCCCAACAGCTGAAAGCTTTGGGGTCTCAGCCCAGATAGGCTCCGGGGTGGTCCGGGGCGGCCCTGAGGCAAGGTTCCACGAGGGTTCCACCAGGGTTCCACCAGGGTGCCACCAGGGTTCCACCAGGCTTCCACGGGGGTTCCACGAGGTTCTGCGAGAGCGGCGGGGTGGTGCGAGCACTAAAAAGAGCATTGCATGCTGTTGGGGATATCACCTGAGCTTATTTTTTTTGGGACAGTCTCAACGTTTGTGAGGCCGACCCTAAAAAAGTGTGGAACTGTGCAAACCACACAATCCTGGCAAGCCCAGACCCCAACAAAACTCGAGACTGTCCAAAACATAAACAAAATCCCTAGGGGTCTTGGGCTGGTCAAGAGCTCAAGACTCTGCAGGAATGTTTTTTCTTTATGTTTTTTTGGTCAGTCTCGAGTTTTTTTGGGGCCTGGGCTTGCCGCTTTTTTTGGGACAGTCTCGCAGTTTGTGAAGGCCGACCCCAAAAAACTCGAGACTGTCCAAAAACAAACAGAAAACCAACCCTGGGGGTCTTGAACAGGCAAGAGCTCAAGACTCTGCAGGATTTTTTTAGTTGTTTGAGACAGTT